CCAAGCCTGAGGGCCTGACCAAAGGTGGTCAACCTCTAATTTGCTATGAAAAAGAACCCAAAGATAAACCCCCCAGTGGGAAGCCTGAGGGGAAAGGAAGGGAACACAGCAAGTGCCAGGGGAACAAACTGTCTCTGCTTCGGGGTTTGGAGTGGGCTGTTTCACTTTGAGTTTTAGCAGGTTCCCCAGTTTGGTCTAGAAGGGAAGCTGCTGGGAGCAGCAGGACTCCAGTCTTGAGAGGAGGGCTTCAGGGTCTGGGCGTGATGGTCGGGCGTTCACGTATGTCATATGGAAGCTTTTCCTTTTTCTTTCTTTTCTTTCACCTCCCAGTGTCAGCCATTCCCAACAAATTGCCAGCATTGTCTTCCTCTGGCTGCGTCCTTCCCAGCAAGGAATTTAAAATAGCCTCTCCCCCTCCAGAACGCGCTGTGCAGGGAGAGATGATTAGCATGAAGCCGGGTTTGCCAAGTTCTGGTCCTCACACCATCCCCAGGCGGAGACGGTTGAAAATGAGCTGTGGGATCTGCCTGACCCTGCTGTATCTGAAGTCCTTTTGCTCTTTTGAACTGTCTCCACAAAGGAACCAGAAAATTAAAAGGCAGCTTTGTGGATGAACCAGAATACGAATGCAATAAGTTTCTTTCTTTCTTTCTTTCTTTTCTTTTTATTGGAGTTTGCCCTGAGGTGTAGCAGAGCTGCCAGTTCTGTGCCTCTTCTTGTGGGGTCATGAAGTGAATGGTTCCCAGGAAATCCATCAAGCTCACACCCTCCAGCGGGGTTACTGGAGGTCGAGCTGACAGCCCTCCAGTTGCCCACAATTTCAGTTATGATTCTTTTTTGAGGCCTAAAGGTTCTGTGCAATTTGGAGAAGGTACTCAGAGAAAGGCCTGGAAGGGTTTTGTTTTGTTTTGTTTTGTTTTTGAGGGGAAATATCTGTGATTGACTATCCTCTCTGTGAGGCCGAGGTTCAGTGGTGGGTCTCCCAGGAAGAATATTCAAAGCAGAGGCAAGTATGTAAACGTTCAAAAAAGATGCTTAATGTTTTGTCAGAGAGGAATAAATTGTTAATATTACTAAAGGAGAAGGGAGTGGGCAAAGCCTGGAGGAAGTGGGGCCAGAGAAGAATTAACCGAACATGGGAACGTGGTGTGGCTTCACTTCCGTAAGCCCACGAAGAACTGCACAGAGCTGGAACCTAAAGACCTTTCATCCCCCTGCCCTGACACTCAAGGGGCTTTTTAATGGGGCATTACCTGTGGGTACCAGTACACTGTAAACCCCACACAGTATGTCGCTGATGACAGAAGCCTCCTCCATGTCCACCCTCCTCATGTCCTTCTTCACGTCCCCTCCCTCCTTGGCCCAGACAGCTAAGTGCCTCAGAAAGAAGAGATTAATCAGGGGGAGATTGGGCAGCACTCATAACTCAGTGAGTAGGGCACCGGCCGCATACACGGAGGCTGGCAGGTTCGAACCTGGCCTGGGCCAGATAAACAACAATGACAACTACAGAAAAAAAAAAAAAATAGCAGCGTTGTGGTGGGCACCTGTAGTCCCAGCTACTTGGGAGGCTGAGGCAAGAGAATCGCTTAAGCCCAAGAGTTTGAGGTTGCTGTGAGCTGTGATGC